TTAAAAATAAACCATCTGAATGGCATTGATAGGGTAAGTATGTTATCTTAAAAGTGAACCTTCTGAATGGCCCCAGTAGTGCCATGCATATGGACATCCATATATGGAAGCAATGATTTTTCATTGTGTCAACTTATAAGTTATAATGAGTCATATTTCAATATGCATGAAGCACAGGAGAGAAAGTGAAAATACTCAAGTATATTTATTATCAAATTGACAGAGATGCAGCACATCGTATCCATCCTCTAGCGGGTCAAGGGGTCAATCTTGGATTTGGTGATGTCATTAGTTTGCTTGATAAAATATTGCAGTCAGTGGAGAATGGACAAGACCTAGGTACAGTTGCTGGTTGTATGAAGGGTGTACCAATATTATGCACTCCATAAAAYACAGTTTTATCAGCTTGAAAAATCTGGTGGTTACACAGGTAGCCCAAATTTATCATCAAAGAATGATGGCATAATGATTAAAAAAATTATGCAAACATTTAAAACAATCATTTTGCAAAAAAGTAAAAAATGGTGCCCTCCAAATATCCCTGTTATGATTTTGAGMAATGAAGTGCCTGCAAAAATTAAWACGAATAAGGTAACACTTTGGTGYATAAATCTGTAGTGTGCTTATGGTGCCTTTTAAATGTTTGCATTACAAAACTTATTTCCAAAGCACTAAAATTATTATATAGGAAAATTCATACAGTCATTCATATAATCTGTCATSCCAACTCTTTTGTGTTCAGATTTTTTTTAATTTTGGAAAGTCCATCAGGGTTGGGTGAGGGTGATTGATGATGATGAAAGATGAACAACTCAAGACACTGACCCAGATGGTGTTTTGGCACTTTTTCCAAGCTTGGGTGGGTGATTGATGATTGAGGGTGATTGATGATGATTCATTGTAAAACAAGCTTCTGTTTTGTATTGTGTTGTCCAGCCTTCAGGAAACTCTAGAGTTAATGTTCATTTTTCAGGCGATGTTACTAATCTGTTGGAGTATGAGACCGAGAGACAAAGAGCTGTAGTACCAATGATGATAGCCACTGACTTGTTAAACAGACTGTTTTCAACATCAAGTGTCCTTCCTACAGCAGYAAGGACAGCAGGACTACTTGCAGTTAATGCAGCGATTCCAGTCAAGGTATATCTCTCACTTATCAATAGTTTGTCGGCAACACACATTGTGAATCAATTGGCCAACAAGTGGTCTATTCTTTGAAATGATGACTACATTCACAATATCTATGAAATAGTAAGTTTGCTGGCAAAATTGTGAAAATCAGTCTTCTGTCARTAATCAAAAATTTGAGGTTGATCCCATATAAAAGTGTTTTATTTTTTTTGTAATAACTGAACTCTAATTTTTAGAGTATATAATTATGAGTTAGTTAACAAACTGGTATGTTAACCAACACAAACTTACTTGCGTTAGTTTTTACTTTACAAGTCACAACAAAAGCCACACTTATCAAGTTAGTTAACAATGTTTGCAAATATCATAAACTATTACAGTTAGGTTAGTTAGTTACAGTTAGGCCAGTTAGTAAACTTACTAAACCTGTGTCTTACYAAAGAACATTGCAGTTAARAACTTTCTCTTTTGGAGAGATTTTCCTCWAACTCATAGTATTAATTTCTTGGTTGCCATATTGGACTAAAGTACAACATTGAAGTATCTCAAAAAAGCTTCTTGTCAAAGCTTGGCTAAATTGATCCCTAAGGTATTACCTAACAGCAACCAAGACTGATTCAAGGACTAAATTATCATTTTCAAGGAGCTTTCCTCCAAATTCAAGGACTTTTCAAGGAAAATTCCCTTTTTTTAAGGACCTAGCTCAAAAATCAAGGACTTTTCAAGAATGTACAAACCCTGTTACTRTATTACACAAGACTAAAACTTACACCATCTCACAAGAGTGTTGTCCTGAAATTCAGGTCTTTAGGAACTTAGTAATGGTAATACATTAAAAGATGAACACTTTCTCTTTTTTATGATTACCCTTAATAGTGGAACATTTTGTAATTTATTATTAGGTGCATGAATGGACTTCTAAAGAATATGCTACATTGTTTTCTAATTGTTAATTTATTTAATTATTACCTTATAGGATCAAATCATATCCTTTGCCAGAAGATAGCCAAACCAAAATTAAGATTCCAAGGGCATTTGAACTGAGCAAAAAATAAATCCAAAAAGATGATGATTTACCTCTTCCAGTATCAACACCAGAACATCTTATAGTTTGAGAACTGTTTATTTTATGTGAATTGATAAAAATAAAGTGACATTTTTGAGCAGACCTATGGAACCTGCTTTGTCTTCTTTTGTTATATAAGACTACAATGTTTATTAATTTTCTTCRGTGATAGAGYACAACGGCCCACASTGTCAGTAGCTGCACATATTTATTCTTTTGGAGAATATTTGGTTGAGATTAATTTGTGCAGTAGAGCACAAACACTAAAGTGTGCAAGACTTGAATAACTAAACATTCAATAGAAAACCATGGAATTAACACAAGTTAGCAGTATTTAGTTATATTAATGCAGTTGCACTTCTAGTGTTTGTGCTGAAGGGACACACTGTTTGCATATACTATATCGACTACAATAAACTTTGTACAAACAGTATACCTGTGAAATAATTTGTTTAAATTACAATAATTTAAATTTTTTAAACATTTAATAATTTTGTWAGCTATTTCACAGATATTTTGTTTGCAATCGACATATCCGTTTGTTTCTTGTTGACAATTCCCAGTAGCACTGTTTTTGCTCCTCAACACATCTGACAAGTTCTTTTTTACAGCTGTACTGTAGCTTGCTATCATTCTTGGCCATAGAGTTAAATCATGTTTGAAAAAGACTATGAAAAAAACTTCACAATCTAAAAACAAATATATTTTATGAACTCAATYATTCTTGAGTGATTTCCATACTGTCATTTGAGTAGTTGAGTAGCCATGGTGACAAACTAGACTATGTTATCATTATACAGTCCAAATAAGGTTATTCTATGGTTTAGTGTAAATACCTAAATGCACAAAAAAGTGTGGTTTTGACTAAACACCACATTAGTACCTGCATATGAGAACCAGTGGCTAGAGAACCTAACACTTGCTAGAAAACAACATCTTTAACCTAAGAAATTAAACTGTTCTTATCCGAATGGTTTCAAGATTTATCAAATAAAAAATGAAAGTAGTGAAGTAAATTCATCCCAGCAGTAGCGTATGGCCTAATCTTAACTTTATCTTGCAAAAAATGAAAGACTGAATGGCAAGAGTAAAATATCAATGCAATTTCTAGTACGTATTTTTAGAACGAAAGTCACATCTATATCAATAAAGACACCATATATGGGAAATTATTTTTACTTTGTAATGAACTTGAGTGAATGAATTTTATCTTTGAAATWGTACAAGCCTCTTCTTGCTATTTTGCGCAATTTAATAAATGGTGATAATGAACAATCATGGTAATTCTAAATGTTTCACTTATGTGATAGATTTCTTGTAAAATTGCACTACTTTGCTTATGTGCAATTTCACAGATTAAATGAATACACTCATTAAAWACCAATGAAGTAAACTTAGAAACATTGGTTCTCATACACAGGGTTTTACTGTATTCCTGTGAAAATTAAAAACATAATATAAAATGACTCGATTGTTGGATTGACTATACGTAACTGTAGCGCTGGACTACAGTACATACATGATATTCCAATACAAACTTTCAATTTTAAAATCAATCTACACATAGTTACTTAGATGCATTTCTGTAAGACCTTCTATTTTCTATTGTGCTGCAGTATTAAGTTTATTAGCGAATGTACAGCTTTTTATGTATAGCAAACTGTGTTCTACTAGTAGTATGATGTACCCTGTGACAGGAACTAAACAAGGATCTAGTTTTATTTGCATTAAAATAGTTTTACATGTTGTATGTTAATGATAAATGCAATGAAATATACAATTCAAGTGATTGATATAAACTGCAAATCACTTAGATTGTATATTKGTATGTGACAATCACTGCCGTATGTTGCTTATATACCAAAATACACAAAGCACCTTGGTACAACGAATACAGCATTRATACCAAGAAAGGAGTATGTTACAAATCTATGGACAAGTTCAATAAATTCTTTGCTTCCCTGTCTGTCACTCTTTGGAATAAGGCGTGGTAATACTGTAAAAATAAGTGACTTCATGAAACTACGCGATGGAGCCATCACAAGAATACCAAAAATAAACCTGCAGATCATGGTCATGATCCTGTCTGGTCCAGGAAATGTGACTGGAAATGGTGCTCCCAAGTAAGGATCTGGTACTTTAGTAGGAGCATAACGTGCCCATGATCCCAACATGACCCCAACACATGTCCCCACTACCATTGTTGTGTCTGCACGAGTGTCTGTCTGCATGGGTGGAATTGGATAAACAATACACATCACCATGGGAATGGCTACCATAAATATTGGTGAACTGGGAGATGTTAGAACCCATTCCTCTGTTGGGAAGTCTAGTACAGGGACAACAAGTACCAGTAATATTATGGCAAACACCAAACCAGCAATGACATCCTGTGATAACACAACAACATTAAACCTACTGCAGTATGTTGATTTTCACTATTTTCTATATGTAAGATCATTCATGATGAAATGCCATTTATGTTTAGAATGTAAAATAATTGCAATATTTAAAGATCAATCAAGAGGGTAAACACTAAAACCATGAAAACTTACAGAACAAATAGTGCTAAATATAGTTTAGAACAGACAGTAGAAAACAAAGAAATGCACATAATACAAAACAATTTAGCACTATGTAATTACTAAATTAAATTCCCTGACYGTTCCCAATGCTATAGATAGAGAAAGGTTGGAATTGCATACTAAGGTCTTACAAATGGCAGCCATTTTATGCAATTCTCTTATTTAATAAAGTGGGTTCATGGTTTGCCCTCTAAATATTTTGAGTGCATTGTGATACCATATACTAGTATATTCTGTCACTATGGACATGGATGGTYTATATAATTACATACCTGTAAACTATGCATTCCCATGTACATTCTGCTACTACACACTAACAAACACCAACATACTAAAAACGCAACACCAACAGGAAGTGGATACTATAACAAAACAAACAAAACTATCAATAATRCAAAAAACAACCTACCAATCCAATCAAATGAGGGAAGGTGGAAACAGAGAGGATAGTGGGTACTAATAGTTTTTCATTGCATCAGGAGTGCTGTATTACAATGCAGCTCACATGTTAAGTACCAATGAATAATCAACTGTATTCTGCTAAAATGTTTTGCTGAAACACATGATACATACTACAGACTACAATCAATAWTGTCATTCTTAGCTGATCAAAGTATTTAGGTAAGTAATTGTATTTGCTGCAAGCACACTTTGATGTCACTAGYGGAACACTTATCAATGACTCACTTCCTTTGACAATCTATTAATCACTTGCATGATTTGTTGATCAGCAAGCRCATATCACAGCACAGTACAAGAGTACAATACATGTATTTCAATTTAACAAATCAATTTAAATTGCTTTAATTTACATTCTTCCATGAAATAAGATACAAATAGCAAAGCAAGTCACAATATTTTGGCAAGTTTAGTAGTTTTGTAATTTGAGATGAATCTCRAGTAGTTTAACACTATTCTAATATATCACCCAAAAACAGTCTTTCTATAACTCTTGGAAATTATGTGGTATATTGGGAAAAATATGAAAATCTAGTGGAAATGWAGCATTTGTATCCTGTGATATTGTAGGAAAAACAGCTCATTGAATTAAGGTATTGTGGTATTAATGGATTATCACTGCAGGATACAGATCCAAAATCAACCTATTTTTATGACAACGTTTTCGCAAGTAGGTGTATATAACCAAAAGGGAAAGCTGTCACATGAACTGTCAATGCACCTATCAATGTCTTGCCCCATATAATTGCCCCCATTGTAACTGGAGTTTTTTTATCCAACCTTTTCTGGAGATCTCATACATACTATTTTATTGTACTAAAAAGTGTATTGTATCCAGTTGTTTCAATTCACAGGATGAGAACATCACAACATTGATACATGTTTRAGGTTCATATTGCTTCACTAGACTTGATGCTCTCCCACTTTGCTCCCCCAAAAATATTTTCAATTTATCAAGTATACTTATTGAAGTTTTTTGTACATGGAGGAATCTCCAAAAAAAGTAACATATATATCTATAAGATTTGGGATTCCTGTTGCACAAATGCAGTGCTATACATAGGAATGAAAGATAGGAATTTGAAAGGTGAACCTAAAGTCRGACTKCCTATGGCTACCCCGACAAATAAGCCCCAGCCAAAATGTCAATGAACCCCAACCAAAGAGGACCTTGTTCCAATAAATATCGAGTAGCCCCTGTCATGGATAATGTTATTTTCAATAGTTGGAGAAAGACATCTGATAGATGTAGAGATGTCTTGTCACGATATTACATACGTGACAGAATATATTTACTGTCATGWTAATCAAATCATGCACAAAATACCCTGTACATTAGACAAGCTCATGGTCTTAAAAGTTAAATTTCTTTAAATGTTGTTTTGAGGAACAACACGAAATCAATAAACAAGGCAAACTGAACAAATCAAGTCTCATGATGATCATGGGGGGTYGCACTTAACGACGAAACTATATACAATGGGTATATCGTCTTTCGCTGTGCCCATGCAAACACGGGAGCGAGTATTTGCAAACAATCACACATTTTGATTCATAAAACACCAAGAACGGAAGTTGTACAACACATTTACTGYAAAGTCTTTGAATGCTGCACCAAGAACATCGGTTTGGGAGAAGTCACATTCATGCAGAAACATTTTACAATACAGTGTTACTTTAACTTCTATTGCACGGTTAAGAAATGTCGTGTTCATACCTGATATCGATCGTAACTATAGTACACSAGGCAAAATGGAATTAAAGCACCAACCATAGCATGTGTAGAAGGCATGCCATACTCCCATTGATAYCGCTTTTCCACTGCTATTACAGGGGGACAGGGCGGACGGGGCCATTGGATGACATCTTTAGCACATTGACCACAGTAAAGAAGCAATGCCCACAGAAACACCATTCTACGAGCTATGAATTCATCAATGTTCCAAAATAAACAAGGAAAGAAAGTTATGTAGAATATTTCGTTGCCCAAAGTTGAGCCGAATATGAAAAGTGCGTGCCAGAAGGGGTTGTAAGTATAGTGTTGTGCATTCTTTGGGCGTACTTCTTGGTCTTGTATTAAATCGTCTGCACAATCAGCTTTCCAATGACCATTTCTATGAAAACCATTCTTTGTATAGCCATTTACAAATCCATTTTTGATGTGTCCGTTAGCATGGCCGTTTGGAATCTTGGCGGCTCGTTCGTTTTGAATACACTTGCCATCTTCGCCCACTTCCCGTAAACCACACCAATTTTGAAATCGAAGTACAAGATATGGATCCGCTGAAGCACGCAGCATTGTCCAGAAATGGGTTAGATCAAGCAGCATTACAACGTAACGCCTACAAACATAAACTTCTCATGACAGTACAGCTTCTAGTTGAGAGAGAGAGAGAGAGAGAGAGAGAGGAGTGTCGAGTTATATAGTTTTTTCCATATATGGAAGTCTAAAGGTGGCGAGACTTCGAGAGGGACTGGGGTGACTTTTATCGTTTCACATCGAAACACATATTAAGCTATGACGTCACTCAATGCGTGCAAAAAGCAGGCAACCTATTGTTCTGCGGCAATTGCAACTTCTCCACATACGAATGTCTTGGTTTTCACACTGATTATATATAAACCTATGGGTAAGACATTTTTAAAATAAAATGTGGATCAACTCTGTTTTGAAATAAAGTTTCTTGTCAGTCGCGGATCCAGGGGGGGGTTCCATGGGTTCCTAGGAACCCTCCTCAAGCATAAAAAAGTAGAAAATAAAATAAATGATAAATGAAATAAAATGAAAACGTATCGTACAATGAATTTTTATTCAATACATTCACACTACATTTGCTACAGTTCGAGAGGCACAGTAAAAAAGTTCGTTTTAGGAAAATGCGAAAACAAAGAGGAACCCCCTTTTGAAAAATCCTGGATCTGGCACTGCTTGTCCAATCATAAGCACTCAAAACAATAGCCAAAAGATGCTTCTAATTTGCTATGTTCCCCACATACAACTGCTATTAATATTAAAGCTAAGGAAAGCTTTTATGAAGTTATAGAATCAGATATTAAATAAAATGTTAAAAAATGAGATTAATGCTTTTGAAATTATGTCAGATTTTAATGTTTTAACCAATGAGATGGATGGATTATACAATACACAATTAGCACCTTCATACATTCCATTGTCGTTTGCTTGCCTGCTTCTTACTCGGACCATTATTTAACTTGTTAGTCTTTAATAGTTCTACCTTCAGATCAATCTATCTATCGGATGTGTCGCGTTTTGATCACAGTTACAAATGTGGTATCTGTGATCTCATGAGCATCAGAAGCACACCCTGCAGATTTGCATGCAGCTTAATTGACAAACTAATATGCTTATCAATGACAATGAAAGGTTTCAAATTAGAACAAGAAGATCACTTTGTCTATCAATAAAAAAGGCGACTTTATTTAATTATTTTATAGGCATCTTTTACTTCAAAAAAGTATTTATTTTCTTGGTGAGAGGTTAAAAACGTAGAAGGGTTACAGTCATAAGATATCACTAATAATTTTTCATAATTTTTTGGAGATTCCTCTGACTAGTAAGTTGGTCCATGTACAAGATACTTTGATAAGAAATGTTAAGTGAGTTCTTTTCTTTAAACATTCCATTAGAAATTGTTGAATTAACCAGATATGGTACAGTATTACTATTCTGTATGTTGTTTACATGACCTTTCAGGTCAAATTTAATCAAATCTCAGTGAATTTTGCATATTTTGAATAAACTAGACGCTCTTAGCAGTTTTGGAAAATTTAGAAAGATAGGATATTACTCCTGACTTGATTTGGCGTGCGAAAAAAAAAAACATAAAAAAGCATTTTGCTGTCATTATATATTAGAAGTAAAAAAGGTATTCTCTACGTCATAATTTACTTTTTATATATAATATATGTAATGTTTACAACATGAGCAGCCGTAGGCTCGAGATTGTAAAGCCCATACAACACTGACGCAAATGTACTACTTGTGAAACGTTTAGGTGTATACATTCATAATCTACTAAAAACTTAAGGATAAAATTGAATTTGGCTGAGAAAATTAGATTTGATTTGAAGTTTATGCAAATCAAGACAGTTTTGTATCAAATATTATAAAACTTATTAAT